AAATTAAATTCACTTTATTCTAGCAAGCAAGCTTATTGAACGTTTTATCAATCCCATGGATCGTTTATCTTTATCTTTCCTCTGCAATGCCATCTATTGCAAGATCTGTCAACTACAATTACTGCTCTACTTATTTTATATCTGCGCCAAACATATATATATATATACGCGTAAAATCATACACAATCTGTTCAAGTCTCAAACTTTTTTTCTAAGTAAGCTTTCAATCATAAATCCAAAAATATAGTATTGTTTATTCATCTAGTCCGAAGTGCGGAACGTACTCATACTCATTTTGTATATGAACTGTAGAATTTTTGTATTAAGGAAATGAAGATCTGATGTAACAGCTGTACGAGCTAAAATTACATGTAATTTTTTTAGTTTTTTCTTATTTACTTGTTAAATCGATTGTTCCTCATATTCTTTTTGTGCGTATTTTAATTGCCTGAAAGGATTTTGCAATCTGTCAAGCCAATAAGAAGTTCTTTGGTGCATTATAATGTGTCGGTAATTCCCGTCACTTTAGGATCCCCTTAAGGTCTAAACCAAAAAATTGTAAAACAATTATTCTTTTGGAATAAATGATTTATTTAACAAAAAGTGAAGCTTTGTCTGCTTCTCGCTGGATCAGAATCTCCTAGTGCCTGACAGGCATAACAAAATTAGTGTCAGAAATGGAATCCAGATATTACAGAACAGCAGCACCCAGTGCTCTGTAAAAAAATAAATGCACAAATTCAAGAAGAAGGAACTGAAAAAAGAGGAACTGAAACCTTAGCAGAGAAGTACACCTGGGAGAGCAACAATGCTAAGCATATTAGCGATATCGGAGAAGCAGCGACCTATAACAGCGAACCTATAACAAGCGCTGCGCCGACAATATATGAGTTGCGACCGTAATGTAAGTTATAGAAAAATAAGGCGAGCGTAATAGATATTAGAAAAGATCGGATGAAGATATTATTCAAACTACCATCGAAAGAAACGCGTCGTGATTAAACAGAATCAGTCCCCCGAGTGCTCAGTCCGAGTTCCCCGAGCCCCGCACAAACAGAAAATACACATGATCCACGCGTGCGTCGTAATTTAAACGAATACTATTCCGACTAGCTTAGACAATCAACTGGAGCTACACTCGAACATTGTAATCGAGCGCGTGTTTTCGCTGACATAGATAGCAGTATATTAGTAACGAGTAACGAGAGACTCAACGACAGTCTACACATCCGACAGATGCAAGATCTGATATAAGTGACGGTACAAACGCAAGTAATCCTAGTCACAAAGAATTTTCGCTAACCTCCTATGACAGTAGCTTGTTCGATCCAACCGAATTCCATACCGTTCCACGGAACACAAATCCGCGGAAGAAATGGCAAACCAGTTATTAGGCACACCGTTAAAACTGATCGCAGAAGAGCGACGAGTAAGGATTTGGATAACGAGGTAAAAGGAACGATGAAAACTATTTTGAATCAGCCACTCAGGAAAACTGATCCAGAATCTTCGCGCGACACGCGAGACATAATGCTGACTGAATTATTAGAAAGCATGCGAACAGAGCCGCATAAACTAATTAGAAATTACAAATTACGATCAAGTTGATAACGCAGGAAACGATGAACTAATAGAGATGGCATTCGGGCGTACGATGGACGACGTCTGAAATTCACGAGAGCCCGTGAATACATATGTGAAATTAAAAGAATCCCGTGGTATGATCCCGGAGATAGACGGATCGTCGCGAAATCAAGTTCACAAATTTTTAAACGCGAGTACTTACGTAATGAGTGAGATAAATCCTGCTGACGAAAAATAATTATTAAAAATGATCCTGTGCAGGAAATTAATAGGAAAAGCTATGCACGATTTTCAAACGAGAGATATACGTTTGCACAATTAAAATAATAAATCGAGATGTGTCTGGTAAAGCGCAGTACCACGTATCCAATGAGTCACATTTAACGTGATTCACTAGAAATCCGAAAAAAGCGCGCGAGAATACGGATTCCGCGTAGACAAGCTAGCAATGGAACTTTATCAGTCCATGGTAGAAAGCCGTTGAATGAATAGCAATTTTAGACATGGTCCAAGAACTAGCGTCAGAGAATTTCCAATTAAGATGACACGAAAAAATACAAACGGTAGTGCATTCCAAAAATTATACGAGTTTGAGCCGCGATCCTAAGTGCTACAGCCGAAGAAAAATTAAAAGATAATCAACCTACAAAAAACTTATGATAAGAACGAGAGAACGAGAAATAATCAGGAACAAAATACAAGCCGCAACTCTAACTTAGAATGTCACAAATGCGGTAGACTAGGTCATCAGGCACGCGATTGTCGATCGAGTCGATACGAGAACAGATATTCGCTGCCGAAAGCCGAACGACCAGCGAATGTAAACAATATTGAAAAATATTACTCGTATTGCAAAAAAACAAGTCATAAGCACGACGAGTATTGGTCCCTGAGCGGATGCCCGAGAAGAGAATATTCAAAACAAACAAACAGGTGTTGTAGCCAGATCTACAACCAATAATAAAATAATAACCAATAATAAAAGTAGTCCGCATGGCAACAAAATTAGGTCGCATGAATCTCGAAAAGTCTTTCGAAAGACGACACAAATGTGTGACCGCCGAAATTGCGACCAATCTTTCGAAAGACCGCAGAAATGCATCACGCGAGAACATTGCGAAAAAGCCTATCAGCAAATTTCTAAATTTGATGATCAAACCGAGCGTAATATTGATTAATTAATATCACGTAACTGATCGACGCAATCGATCAGAATGCTGATCGGGCATCGATCAGACTATATAACCGGTTACACAAGGCGGAGTCGGGAGAGTCAAGACTCAAGAATAACGTGTCGTTCGGAATCATTATTAT